GTGATTTCAACAGGCAGGTATGTGTCTGAAGAATTAGTTTCTGGGTGAGGCACTTTGTGACTATTCTTGGGCTGGAAATTTTGCTCTCACTTGAAATTAATGATCGTGAAGACAAAGATGAGTAAAAGTACAATTTCAAAATCCCTTTTGAATTTTGCTGATGTTTGCCAAAATTGAGCAACTAAGAATCCTGAAAAAATACTCTACATTTAAAGGAAAGGTATAGGTATTTGAAGGGAGAGGGGGTGCAGATTTTTACATATTTTGTTGTAATAAAAAATGTTTACTTCAATTTTCTCTTTGAAAGTCTAGTAGGTTATTTGGAAAGGACCTTGGAACAACAGTGCTGTGAGCTTTTTTTTTTTTTTTTTTTTGGGTCCGGTCATGGGGCCTGAACTCTGGGCCTGGGCACCGTCCCTCAGCTCTTCAGCTCAAAGCTAGCGCTCTACCACTTGAGCCACAGCGTCACTTCCGGCTTTTTTCTTTTTGCTTATGTGGTGCTGAGGAATCGAACTCAGGGCCTCATGCATGCAAGGCAAGCGCTCTACCACTGAGCCACCTTCTAAATTTGACCAAGAATAAGAGAAATGTTAGAATCTGCATATTCTGCATGCTGGGAAAGAGCTTTATTTGACAAAAAGAAAAAAGCTTAGCTTTAATGAACTTTAATTGCAGTATATTCTAAGGCACTAGACTATATACCACATGTACTACAGGACCTACCGTGTGCTTCAGTGGCAGTTTAATCCTTGTATATATAGTAAAAACTGTTCACCTCTCTTTTATATTCACACAGGTAGCAACTTAAAAGCTTTTCATATGCCTCTTAAAATAAACCTATGAAGTCATTTTTTTTTCTCACTGTTTAGTTTCAGGAATTGTTGTAGGACTTTCCTAGGGTAGGAGATAAAGGATTCAGAGGGACATTGTTTCTGCTTTCTGGGTTTTGTTTCTCTTCTTCCTTCTGTGGCCTTTTGCCTTCCCTGCTTTGCTTCTTGCGTGACCAGAGCATTCTTAGGATTCCTTCCTTTCTCTCTGGCATGCTTGAGATTACCAAGCCTTCTTCTGCAGCTTTGCTGCCTAACTTCCGTCCTGCAAGCTCTACAGGAAAGAATTGGGCTACCAGCACAGCTATGTTTATTGCAGCATTATTTACCATAGCTAAGATCTGGAACCAACCCAGATGCCCCTCAGTAGATGAATGGATCAAGAAAATGTGGTATATATACACAATGCAATTCTATGCCTTCATCAGAAAGAATGGCTTTACCCCATTTGTTAGGAAATGGAAAAACTTGGAAAAAATTATATTAAGTGAAGTAAGCCAGGCCCAAAGAAACATAGGTCCCATGGTTTCCCTTATTTGCAATATCTAGTATATGTATGAGTCAAGCAGAAAAGGTCAGATAATGTGATGTCAGGAAAATGAACCCTTAGATATGTGTTTTAATGTTTTTTTTTCTTTCATGCATGTGTTTCTAACGCATTTATAAGATTATCTCTTTGTTGCTTTGTATGTCCCTCCCCCACAGTATAACCCCTGCTTTCACTATATTTGATGTCAGTATAACTTGTGGAGGAGATGGGGAAAACCCAGTTGTTTAAGGATACAGGTGGACCTGTTGCAACAATGAGAAGTACAAGTTGTCATGTCCAAAACGAGCTTTACAGTGCAGGGGGGGAGGGGGAGGGGGGAAGGAGAAGGATTGGGATTGGGGGGGAGGGGGAGGCTGGGAAGTGATGTGAAGGATAAACAAAGGAGGAGGCTGCAATGCTTGGTATACTGCCCATGCAATTGTAACCCCTCTGTACAGTATGTTCACAAATAAAATAAAATTAAATTAAAAAAAAACAAAAAAAAAAGAAAGAATTGGGCCCTACAAGAAGATCAGGGAAGAAATTCAAAATGTGTATAAACCTTCTAAAGCTACTCACTCTACCCTCAAAAGTCCACAATAGTTTCTTCACGTTAGCCGATCAAAAATCATAAATGAATAAGCAGTCTTATTACCTTTAATAGCAAGTTACTCTGATCCTTGATGGTCAGAAAGATTATACCTGTAAATAATAAATGTGAAGATTAGTTTTATTAGGACCTTTAGACACTCATGGATCTAATAGCAGTGTTGCTTACTAACGAAAGTAATAGGGCCAGATTGGAGTATCCTTCCTAATTAGATCTTGTTTCAAACTTTTAAGAAGCAGACCAGTGGTAGTCATAATATTCAATGTACATTTGTGGAATTAGATGAATAGAGGGGATGGATGGGGTTGGGAGACATGGGGGAGATTGATGAAAGGTGTGACTTTGATCAAGATATATTGTACATATGAACTGACATGTTGGCTTGAAACCCTTTTGTACAACTATGTGAAGATAATTAAAATACTTTTTTTAAAAAAATGGATCACCTTCTTCCTTCCACAAGCACAGTGGGTATCTTGAGTTCTACACATATATTTCCATTCCATTCCAACTGTTAGATGAAAACAACAGCAGAAGCAAACTTTCGTCAGAATCTGGTTTCACTTGAGAAAGTTGTTTCACTTTACAATTAGTCCAGAGAGTGAATTTTGCAGACATTTGCATATAATCTCCAAGCCTGGAAGCTGGCTTACTTTATTTTAGTAAGGTCTCCAGCCCTTACTCTGCCAAAGGCTCACTCAGCACAAACACAGACCCCTTTACAGGCCATAAAACCGGTGGAGGAGGGGAATCACAGTCTATAAAGGGTGGGGTATTCCCACAGCCACGTGGCTATCCAAATGGTCCCACTGTCCTCTGGATTCTCCTGGTTTTCCCCATTTTAATTAAACTAGTTCTGTCCCTTTGGACTTATTTAGCTACCTTTCCTCATTTTTAAATCTGGAAAAGATGGTCTCTTGTTGTGTAGAGCAGTGTAGGCTGGCAGATGCACAGGAGTATCCTGTCTTGAGGGAAGTAGCAATTGACACTGGAATGTTTCCAGAATTGTCTTTCCTATTGTAAATAATTTCTAAACAAGGGGATTTTTTTTTTGACACTGGTTTAATGCAGGCAGTTTGACTGAGTTGGGGGACAAGTTATCTCTTGCTAACTTTGAAGAGTAGAGAAACCCTTATGAAACTTGTTCAGCATTGGGATTTCTGCTCTGTGATCTGGAATTTTCTACCTGTTTAGAAAGTGATCAAAGCGTCAAAGTTAAACTTTGGACAAAGAAACAAGGAAAGTTACAACAAAGAGTGTAAACTTTAGCACAAACTCGGGAATATTAATATATAATACTAACCTATTAATGGTTGAAAAGGCAGACCCAGTGTGCCATGTTTAAGACAGCCTCATTCTGATGTAGTTGATGTTGAAAGGGATCAACTTTTAAAACTCTGTGTCCTGAAAGTTTTGTAGAAATACCTTCCAGTTGTCAGGCTTTTGTTATTCCAGAATTGCAGAAGTGACTAAAAAGAAGCTGTTGTGGCACATGATAATTCTGGCTCTGACTGTTTACTGATTCATACTTTTCTTCCTGATTCTTAGAACATTCCTTGTTCCTTGTGTAACACACACACACACACACACACACACCACCTGAAGTTGTTACTTTCCATTCATAAAGCAATGGTGAAAAAGCCACAGTATAACTGAGCTTCTACAGAGACATGGGATATACTAGAGAATGGACACATCCTAACTACTGTAACTTTTAGTTGCAAGGACAAACTCTTGAAAAACAGGATTATTGTAGAAATAGGAAAGATGATTTTTTAAACTTTCTCTTCTCTAAAGTTTGACAATTGAGCTTTTGGATGTATCAAGGGATAACGGCTATGATATGTTACTGCTAGAAAAGGAAAATTATGTTGGAGTGAATAGGAATTTCAAGGAAACTTTGGTACTTTAAATTTTCTGTCTGTACTGTGGAGTAAAAAAAAATACCTAAGTTTGCTTAGTAAATTGATTTTCATGTATTTTTGTGAAATGCCAATATATTAAATATGATTTCTTCAATGTAGCAGTCAGCCAGCTGGATTTCATTTTATAGTTATACGAAATACTTAGCTTCACATAAATGTTCATCATTTGGAACTCTTAAAGGAGAAAACAACAACAAAAAAAACTTCCCAAATGAAGTCTGGGGTTCGATTTATTGGCTTGTGTCTTGAACTTTTAGGCCACTCTAGACTTAGCTCTGGCCAGGATCCTTAGATCCTTAGATCCTTAGATCAGTGTCACTCTTAAAGGTGGAAGGATATATATAAAAGCGACATGATGCAACATGGCATTTATTACACTCCTGTTGCAACAGGAAGAAAAACCATATAGGATTTGAGGATAAGCTTAAGTAAGCAAGCTCAAAGGTCAATGGCTTATCCAAACTTGTAACTTCAAAGTAGAGGACCCTTGTGTGGTTTGCGGTTGTTTCCTTTGCACAAAGTGAGCCTTCCTTCTTCCCCCTCCCTGTTCCCAGGCACTGTTGCACCAATCTTGAATTTTGTTATTTTTCCCCAAAAGCAACTCAGCTTTCAGTGCTTGCTTTAACAAAAGTGACAACATAGCCACAATAACCCTAATCAATGCTTAGGAATCCTTTACTGAATTCCAGCTACTGCCTGGGTTTATTTCCTCCCAGATAAATGAGTTGTATCCTTCGTTTGATGAAGGAAGAATCAGAGACACAGAGTCCTGAGGCTACCAGCTTCCTCCCTCTTCAGTGACAGAGGGAGACTTGGTTACCTGGCTCAAGGAGCTTCTCCACTTTACTTAGGTTCTTTCCAGCCATATAGTTTTTGAAATGTCACCTTTAGATCCTGGCCCTCCCCTTTCACCCAGGTCAGACAGATAGGAGGCCCCAAGGATTATGTGGTATTGATAAATATGTAACTAACCCTGATGTGTGTTTGTATTGTATTGTTTACACTAGAAGTGGGAGAGTGTAAGAATTTAGTTCAAAAGAGTAGAGTTAATTCATGACAGACTGTAGAGACTTTTCACCTGACACCTGTGTGTCTTTGTTTCTTCGCAGGGTCTCCGTACTATGACAATGTCCGCCCGCTCTCTTACCCAGACTCTGATGCCGTGTTGATTTGCTTTGATATCAGTAGACCAGAGACTCTGGACAGTGTTCTAAAAAAGGTAATGCTGGGAATTGATGACAATACCCTGTGTCCTTGATGATATACAAATAGAGACATGTGGTTGGCTGGGATATTCAAAGATTCTAGTTAATTTCCTGCCTTGTATTTTGTAATTAAAATATTGGAAAAGATGCTTACACATAAAAACAATTCCTATACATATGTCTCACCATTTTTGATAATTAATATGTTAGAAATATTTTTTCACAGAGTTGGGAAACAAATTACCTTCATGAACTTCCATATTTGTTTTAGAGGAAGAAACAATACAGTTAAGAATAGTTACATTCAAATACTGTCATATTCACATCTCCTTTCTCTTTATAGATTGCATCCTAGTGGTTTATATTCGACCACTTAATCAAGCTATGTTTCAGTTATTTATAGAAACAAATGAACTTAGTCTAGGAGGACTAGGAGCAATACTGACATATCTTCAGACAGAACACTATAAATTATGTTTAGGTATATGCCAAATAATGTAAGCCTATTGGAAATCATCATGTATACCTGGTTTCTGGAGGTAAAAGTAAACCAGTTTCTGTAGGTGAAGAAAAACCTGAACAAACTCTTGATAGAATGAACAGGCTCAAGATGGAAGGGAATTAAATTAAAGAGGATGTAGTGACAGTTCTAGGGAGAGCAATGGGATGGAAGGGCAATCCTTGGTCTCTAGAAACTGGGACTCATCCCCTAGAATTCATCATAGATGAGTGCTTGTTGATGGAGCAGCACTGATTATTTAAGAACCCTGCCCAGATCAATCTTTGCTGAGACACGATTCAGACAAGAATATACTCTGGGGCTGGGAAGGTGGCTCAGTGATAGAGTGCTTACCTTGAGCTGAAGAGCTGAGGGACAGCACCCAGGCCCAGAGTTCAGGTCCCAAGACAGACAAAAAAGAAAAAAGAAACCCACAAGAATATACTCTGTCTCTAATGCTTGTCAACAATTGCCAGATTTACAGAGAGGGGCTAGAGTCATTACACAGCTGAAGAGCAATGTAACAACATGTCTCATTCTGGCTGTAGATAAAAGAGATGGCTTATTTGCTGGAGTTTTTACTTGATGTTGTATCAGGTTATGCATAATTTATAATGAAAAAGCTTTTCTCCTGTTTATTTTGCTTCTGTCTTTTAAGACAAAATGAACAGTGACTTGGCCTTATAGGTACTAATGAGTGTGTTTACATTCAAGTGAGGCTTAAGGCTCTCCATAACCCCTGCTATGTTTCCTCTTGATTAATTGAGCCTTAAGTCCATGAATATAAAAAGTTAGAGCATGAAAAAAGGAAAGATTTCTTACTCTTTTTTTCCCCTAGCAAACACATGGTTGATACTCCTAAATAATTCAGGAAGGGGTGTAGGAAGGAAGGTCTCAGTGGACACATTAGGCTCTCATGGGAAATGTGTTACTGTCCTCAACCCATTGGGGTGCTGTAGACTAGACATTCTTGTTTAAAGAACACCTCTAGACCTGGAGATGCCCTCTCTGGTGGTCTGTTAAATTACTCTTACAGTAAGCTCCTTTTATCTAGTGTTATACTTACATATAAGACTCCATTACCCCTGCTATTTTGTGAATTCCTTTCCAGAAGACATGGCTGTCTCTTAATCATCTTTGTCATCACCACGGAACTTTGTAGAGCATTTACGACATATTTGTGGATGTGGATAGAAGTGTCAGTCCTATCCTCAGCACTCAGTGCCAGACCGCTTCTGTGAGCCCTCAATCCTTCCTCCCACTGATAATCCTCAAACTTGATGCACAACTACAAAAAGGCAGCTGCTTGCTTTTAAAAGAGGACATCTGGACTTCCCTGCCAGGCATTTTTGAAGGCTAGAGAGCTTTTGTTAAGTCATGACATAGCTAGTCAAGTTGAACTGCTTGAAATGTTTAGGTTACACAACTTAAAATCTAACTTAGAGGCATATCATGTCTTCCTGGTATCTTAGGGCCTTCCACACATAATTGCCCTATATGGATTTGGCCTCTTGAAGCAGGACATTCTATTTTTTTGGGGGGGTGGGGAGGAGGGACAGCACAGGACTTGAAATCAGGGCCTGCGCACTGTCCCTGAGCTTCTTTTGCTCAAGGCTAGCTCTCTAACACTTGAGCCACAGTGCCACTTCTGGCTTTTTCTGTGGATGTGGTACTGGGGAATCGAACCCAGGGCTTCATGCATACTAGGCAAGCACTCTACCACTGAGCCACATTCCCAGCCTCTATTTTTTTTTTTTTTATTAGCTCTAGATCCAATACCTAAACAGCACCTTGACCATATAGAGCCATGTTTTAGTCTTCTTTGCTGGAATCTGTAAAGAAGTACTTATTCAAATGTTCTGTCTTTTTTTTTTTTTTTGGTCAGTCATGGGGCTTGAACTCTGGGCCTGGGTGCTGTTCCTCAGCTCTTCAGCTCAAGACTAGCACTCTACCACTTGAGCCACAGCACCACTTCCAGTTTTCTCGTGGTTTATTGGAGATAAGAGTCTCACAGACTTTCCTGCCCAGGCTGGCTTTGAACCATGATCCTCAGATCTCAGCCTCCTGAGTAGCTAGGATTGCAGGCATGAGCTACCAGCACCCGGCATTCTACCTGGAAAGTACTACTAGCTCAACATTTTCAAGGAGGTAGACACACATTAGAATGAGTGATTATAAGACACATATCCTTCAGAGATATTCAAGTAATTAAGATACAATTGAAAGTGCCTTTTCTCCATACCCCAAATGCCTTGCAGAGACAGATGAGAATTGATAACAGCATTGTTAGGCATTCTTGATTAGATCCACTTTTCAAAGTGAAACTTGATTATCATCTTAAAAAATAAAGTTGGCTTCTTTTTTGGGAATTTCATTTACAGTGTCTAACAGTTAAGGGATTGTTTTTACTCTATGGATATCAGTAATTTGCTGATTTTTCTTGTTCTTTCCCCCTCTCCCCCCCACAGTGGAAAGGTGAAATCCAGGAGTTTTGCCCCAATACCAAAATGCTCTTGGTCGGCTGCAAGTCTGATCTTCGGACAGATGTTAGTACATTAGTAGAGCTCTCAAATCACAGGCAGACTCCAGTGTCCTATGACCAGGTATGTGTGCTATTAGTGTAGAAAAACACACTTCAGTGAGAGTGAAAGAAACAAAATATTCATGATAAATAAGACCCAAATCAGCTGCTTCTCTGGAGGTGGTCAACTGTGAAATGTAAAATGCTTATTCTTCAGGAGCATAATCACATATTTAAGTACATCAATGCTTGATTATGTATTACCCTTGTATGAAACCCCAAGAGGTTTAGAAGTCAGTAAGCTTAAAAGAATATGGTCAGAATCAGTACCTCCCTTTAAGAGAGCTATTATTTTACACTCAGCTGCCCAATAAAATACTGAAACAGACCATTGTCAGTAAAATAGCCTACTCCATAAAACTACATTTTAAGAGATTCACTTCTACAGGTGTTTCCCATGAGGATTTAGAAAGGACAATCAATTTCAGACATGCATCCATTTAAAACTCGTAACCAGATTCTAAAAAGAGTTTATGTTGGAGTAACTGAAATGATAGAAAATATTCATCATTTAAAATATTGCATTTCTGAGCCAAGTATAAGGTGGACATTTATAATTCCAGCACTTGGGAAGCTGAGGCTAGAGAGCTCAAGTTCAAGGCTAGCCTAGGGTTCATAGAAAACTCGAAGGCAGCTTGAGCAACATAGTAAGATCCTATCTACAACAAATAAGATAAATTAAATAAGAAAAGATAAGTAAAATATTGCATTTCAGAACTAGGCATGTAGTTTAGTGGTTCTAATCCATAGTACCACAAAAAAAAAAAAACTGAAAAAATACCATAGTCATCTTCATTTCGCATTTCTACTTAACACGTGTTTCTTTAAATAAATCATTTTGATTCTGTGCATATGCTCATTGTGTATATTGCTAATATCATCCACATTTAGCAAGTACAGGTTTTGTGTTTCCTTAAATAATAGATGACATAATAGCATTAATCATTCATTATTACCCCTGTGTTTTGCACAGCCCATTGACTAGCTTTCAATGTCATTCAGAGTCAAAAAGAGAGAAAAGATAGTGTCCTATGGGGGAGCTAGAACAAACTCTACAGTCCAAAGCCCTTTGCCACATAGAAAATGTACAGTTATGTTCATGATCTTCAGCTCTCTTATCCAGTGGTGAGAGTCTGAGACTTGCTATGACTGGATGGCCTTAGTAACCAGTTACTTTTTTTTGGGGGGGGGGTTGTGGGACCTGAACTCTGGGCCTGGGCACTGTCCCTCAGCTCTTCAGCTCAAGGCTAGCGCTCTACCACTTGAGCCACAGCGCCACTTCCGGCTTTTCTCTTTTTGCCTACGTGGTGCTGAGGAATCGAACCCAGGGCCTTATGTATGCAAGGCAAGCGCTCTACCACTGAGCCACCTTCCCAGCCCCTGACCAGTTACTTTTGGTTACAGTCATCTCATCTCAAGTATTGGATGATCACTGATCCTTACTCATGATCAACCCTTAGAACCTACAACATTTATTTCTAAATAGTGATAACCAAGCATTTTAGGATAGTGTCTTGACTGCAAATAGACATAATAAAATAGATTATTTTTTAAAAAAATCTTTATTTTTTGCAATGATACTAAGAAAATACATATTAGAAAGTGTTTTTTAGTGCAGTATTATTTTGTGGCAAGAGAAGACACTTTATTTTATAACCTTCCCTTCAAGTCTTATTACTGATTAAAATTCTTTTCTTTTGCTTCTCAGGGGGCAAATATGGCCAAACAGATTGGAGCAGCTACTTACATTGAATGCTCAGCTTTACAGTCAGAAAATAGCGTCAGAGACATTTTTCACGTTGCTACCTTGGCATGTGTAAATAAGACAAATAAAAACGTTAAGCGGAACAAATCCCAGAGGGCCACAAAGCGGATTTCACACATGCCTAGCAGACCAGAACTCTCAGCAGTTGCTACGGACTTACGAAAGGACAAAGCAAAGAGCTGCAGTGTGATGTGAAACTTTTCCTGATCTTGAATGAGGACAAGAGAATCTAGTGTAAAAAAAAGAAAGAGAGAAAAGGAGCAAAACAAGTGAAATCTGAGTGAAGTGCACAGCCAAAGTCACATATATCGCAGGCCCCTGAAGGGATAACTGTGTTTTTGGAATCCCGTCCTTGGCACGTAGATCGAGTGGTGAGAAGTGAATATATTGAAGAGTTTTGACGTGTGACTTGAAAGATATGCCAAAAAAAAGAGATACAGATGGGCTAAAGATAGATGAGGAGGAATGCGAGTACTTCCAAGAAGAAAAAAATCACACTCTGAATGGTGCTTGCTTATTTTTTGTTATTGTTGTTTCCTTACAATTTGTTCGTGAATCTCTACTTTGATTTTAACTTTTCAATGTTTTAGTTGCCTTTACAAAAAGTATATATTAATATACCATCCTCATTGGGGAACTGGCACTGTGACCTTAGTGTTTAGGTTTTTTTTTTTTTCCTAAGAGGATGTGATCTAATTTCCTCCTAGCTCATCATTAAAATGGAAATTGTATCAGGACCTATGGGATTCCAGAGGAAAACTTCATGAGGCTTTGAAATCTTGCCTTCCTGAAGATTGCTACTGAGCAAGATAGTTTTAAAAGAAAGGCTTTTGAGTCCTTGCAAGATGTGTAGACCAGCACTACAAAGATCGCCTAGATCAAATAGGAAAAAAAAATGGTGTTGTTTTTTATTCTGTCTGATGGTTCTGTTCCTCAATGTGATCGTCATTAACAAGTGGTATATTGCTCAATGTAATATTTTTGTGCACTGTTTAGAGAAGAGGGTTGTGATTTTAGGTTTTTTTTTGCCATCGTTGATAAAAATGCAAAGTCAAATAAAAAGTGTCTTGCTTTGGTGTCATAGAATGATTCCAGGAGGAAAAATATAGGTACTATTTTCACCAAGAGAGGTAATAAAAGAAGAAATAGTAGCAGAAAGCTCAGTTTGTAAGTAAAGCTGTCTGGAAGGTAGTTACCAAATATACAAAGCAAAAGGACTGTTCTTTTGGGATGAGGCTCCAAAATTGGCAGCATCTAATGATCTGTTGGCTCGGTTCACTTTCTTTAATTAAACATCCATGTGCAAAGGATACACTTATCCAAGCTTTGGAGAATCCCTAGTGGAAAATTACATGTCAATCCTGACATCACACTGGGGTACTTCGAGAGTGACTGCTAAACCTCACTTACCCAGATTCCCAAGCCATGTTCAAAACTTAATGCTTATTGTGACAGTAGAATCATCAGCATTTAAAATGGTTTACAGTTATATATTATTTTTTGGACCAGCTCATTTTAGAGATGCTTTCAAAAAAGAAACCAGGAATGATCTGTTTATTGTTGGGGCTTGTTGAAAACGAGCTTTCTTTCCCATGATAATGCTTCATTTTTGAAGTGTTGAAGCTGTGCTCCCATGAAATTATGGCAGGAGAAGGGGTAAAGGTAGTTACAACACTCAATTCTGTGTCTAACAAGCACTTTGTTTTGTCTCTGCAAGAAGAATACCATTCCAGGCATTTCCCACAAAATACAGAACTTTTTACCAACATAATATGCTTTGATTGACACAGCATTATGCTTGGGGCAGTATTACAAAATAGCTGGCAAGTGCTTTCTGTATTTAAATATTGTAAAAAGAAAATAAGTTATAACTGTTATAAAGCAGAACTTTTGTTGCATTTTTTTTAATGTTGAAGTCACTTTGTATGTTTGTTTGGTCAATGTTTCTGCAGTATTTATTAAAACATACTTTTTTTTTCCTTCAAATAAAAAAGTAACCATGTCTGTCTAAATGTGATTGTTTGTTATTATATAGCTCCTGACTTCATTGTTTAGCTTTGTTCTTTCATAGAAGGAACCACAGGATCTTGCCTGACTTTTGCTGAATTGGAAGGCTTTGGAATTTGATTCTTTGTAGTAGTTTCTTAAAGAAAGATAAATATGCATAGAGAAGTTTGAAGTCAAGTCAGAAGAAGAAAATGGACTGAGTGATCTGATTATATACAAAACAAACTGTGACCCAGCTAAAGGGTTAATTTGCAGGAAGTATGAAAATTGCTTGAACTTTGTAATAGTGAAACAGTGTGGTTGGCTTGTCCTCTTGAGTTTAGAGTTCCGGTTCCTTACACAGGTGTTCACCTTGAAAGACAAGGAGACAATTGTCAAGAATCATCCAGAACCCTGGATTACAACAATGAGGGGTTTGGGGAAGGACAAAAAGTAAAACAAATGTAGTTTTGCTTATAATAGCATCTTTAAGGAACACAGTGTAACAATAATAAGCTTCCCAAAAGTTGTAAGGTAAGCACAAAATAGTTTAGAATAGTGAAGTGCTTGGAATGTCATCAGCTCAGTTGCTTCTTGGTCTTTTTTTTTTTTTGTCAGTCATGGGACTTGAACTCTGGATTTGGACACTGTCCCTGCACTCTTCAGCTCAAGGCGAGCGCTCTACCACTTGAGCCACAGCACCACTTCCAGTTTTCTAGAGGTTTATTGGATGTAAGAGTCTCACAGACTTTACTGCCTGGGCTGGTTTTGAACCATGGTCCTCAGATCTCAGCCTCCCAAGTAGCTAAGATTACAGGCGTGAGCAACCAGCGCCTGGCACTTCTTAGTCTTTAGCTAAAATCCTCACACAAGTTTTTTGTGAATATCCAAAGATATTCCATGTGAGCCTTTAAAACTGATTCTGCACAGCTAAGCCATTTCATGTAAGAATTGAATCCTTATGGCTCAAAGAAAAAGTGTTTAAAATATCTTTGATGTAAACTTAACTTCCTTAGAAATAATTCTCAGGCCAGAGTTGGGAAATCAGAGAATCTAGCATGAGTGAACAAATAAGAGCATTGATGGCATAGCCATATAATTTTTTTTAAAGCATAGAAGTTATCTGAATATGTTGAAAACACATTCCCATCATCAGATGGGAAAGGAAACAAAAGTGCTTTCCGACTCCTGGGTGTTGAGTAACTTCACGCCACAGTGTGTGAGGGGTGGGGGAAAAGGGGTAAACGGTTTCTGCTGATCTTGGCAGTATTTTATAGGTCATACAGTCATTCTCTCTGGTCAATTGTTCTCTCTCAGCAGCTTTAATTTGTTAAAGTAAAAAAGAAAAAAAATTGTCTTCAGCCTTGAGTATATATGCCTTCCTATTTTCTAACTTTTTGCCTGAACAAACCTATCTTTTAAGCATTCTGTGAACATTCTTTCCTATGAACTAATGATTATGATTAATGCCTTTTTAAATACTAAATGGTAAGACTTTTACTGTGTCTCTATCACCTCTATTAATCTTTTCCAGAAACACTTGAATAAAAGTTGCTAGTCTTACAGGGAATGTGTCGTAACTGGAAACTTGAGAAATGACCCTGGGAATTAGCTTTATTAGAAAGATTTTTTTTTAAAGTGGCCTCATTTTTAAGAATCCCGAAATCCCCTCTAGAACCTGCTTTTTCTCTATTTGATGGATTACATGGACATCAGAATTCCTCTCTAACTCATGCTGTTTTCTTTTCCACTATTTTCTCCTTTCACCAAATAGATACTGAGTACCTGTTATATGCCCATCAGTTTTCTAGGTTTGGCTGGGCCAAATCATGGTTAAAATACCATCTTCTGAGCCTGAGAGTTAATAATCTAGTTAAGAGGTCTAGTCAAGAGCAAATCACCATGCACTGGGCCTGGTTGTGATCTGTATTGGCAAACTGAATTCTGAGTTGATAATAAATAGTAAAAAAATAATGTTGCCATGGGCACCAACATAATAGCCCCATGCTACATCATATTTATAATGTTATAATATGGTGCAAAGGAATATTTTAGTACATCCTAATGGCTAGAGTTAGTTTACTGATAACAGAAGAGCAATGAAAATGACTACGTAGCCAGTGATCACTGAAGTAGTTGCACAAGCCTATAGATTGTTGTGACTTTAGAAGACCAATAGAAGAATCTATCCCTTCTCAACTGAGTATAACATACCTTTTAAATGTGACTGCCTTGCTGCAGATTCATTCTAGCTCCTGTAAAATCTTCAATAGAGAAAATTGGGAAAGACATTTTTAAAAGAGTTTTGCATCATAAAATTTTACTAAAAAATTGAAAATAATTTTAGGAGATGACAAAAATCCAAAAACTATAGCACACTTTCATTGAAAATAGAAAACTGACTGTTTCTAAAATGTTGAGAATACTTGTTTACAATTTGTGACAGTCTAAAACTCTTCTTGAAAGTATTCATGAGCAGTGAATTCTAAGTTTCTTCATCTTTGTCTTTTCCTGAGAACACAGGAAACAAAATCTAATGCATACCCTCCCCCCCCCATTAAAACTTTGCAGGATTTCAAAAGACAACTCTTTTTAAATTTTTATTGTCATTATAAAGGTGATGTACAAAGGGTCTAGAGTTACACAAGTCAGGTAATAAGCACATTTCTTTTTGGACAATGTCATCCCTTGAAAATTCATCTTTAGAATTATTTTTGGATTTTGTTTCTTTTGAGGGGAACTAATGGATTTTTCATGATGATGAAAGTACTCCACCTGTATTTTAAAGCAGCTAATGGAAGAAAAAGACATTCCACAAGAAATGGAAATTAGGTCAATATTTGGTTTATACCACTGCCAGAGTAAGAGCTAACACTGATGCACAAATTATGTGACAAACACTGTCCTAAATAGTTCCTATAACCCACTTCTTCCCACACTGCAAATACATGTAATGAGTTAAATACAGTCAAGTAGAAGGGAATTCAGGAATCTTCTCCAAAGGGTCATTGAAAGAGCAAGATTAGAATTTAGGAGGGCATTTAGCTCTGAAATTCCAATGTTCTACCATAACACCATTTTGCCATGGACAAAAATACTTCATGAGTATGGAATCCAAGGTCTACACCATGGCTGCACAGCTGCTCGGAGCCCATGATATGGCTATATCCACCCTGACCTCCCCAAGTCTGCACCCTCACTAGTCCTCCTCTGATTCTGACTGCATCTTGACTCCCATCATTGTTCTATGTTCTATCCTCTCTTCATTGGCACCTATATTCATCCTGTCTCTTGGGTGGCAGGATTGTGATGAGCAGGAAAAAAAAAAAAAGACCCACCCGGGGATGGTTGCCCTGTGCCCTTCCATAATCCAGGTTTCTAGAACTGTGCTGGAACAAAGGTATTCCAAGACACTAGTTCTAGAATCCTTTAACCTAAAATTGGATGTTGCAGATACCAGCAGTATAAAACAAACAGCTAAAAAAAAAAAAAAAAAAAACGATTTGGCACTCTTTTTTTCTTTATTTTTTCTTTTTATCAGTCAAGGAGCTTGAACTCTGGGCCTGGGAGCTGTTACTGAGTTCTTCAGCTCAAGGCGAGCACTCTACCACTTGAGCCACAGTGCCACTTCCAAGTTTTCTGGTGGTTAATTGAAGAGTCTCACAGACTTTCCTGCCCAGGCTGCTTTGAACCGTGATCCTCAGATCTCAGTCTCCTGAATAGCTAACATTACAGACATAAAGCACCCAGCTGTTTTATCTGAACTTGTTAGTAAGCATTCATTTTATTCAATGTTTTTCACTACTCCCTGAAAGTATACTTGACCTGTGAAACCTAAGCATTGCAAATCTTCATTCTCTCAGGACCTCAATTCTAAACCATTAACTAAACCCAATAGCCTTTTAGCAGACATGCTTAGCAAACATTGCCTCTATATCCATCTCTTTTGGAGTGAAATGCATAATTCTGGTCCTGAGGGGAAAAGAATATCTGAAGGAAAAATAACCAGGGTTTTGGTTAAAGTAAGTCTAAATAAATGTTCACTCACATTTTCTATGGCATAACAGCAATGATTCTTGCTTGGAATTTGAAGATTTCTAAGGTCTAACTTGAAATTGAGACAGAAAGGTCTAACTCAGTTTGGATGAATCTGGGCATGCATAGATGTTCAAGGTTTATGGAATGGTAAGCCATCAGGCAGAAAATGAGAAAAAATTGTATTATGAGCTCATATGTCTTTAGAGTTTTCTTTGAAGTTTAGAAATGTTATAGAAAGATATCAAGAGTTTGCTATTCTAGATTCTTAGCCTTTTTGTTTTTCAAATTATTTTTCTTTACAAAACCTATGTAAATTTATGAAGTCCATTTATAAAAAATGCATACTTATACATATACTCCTATAGCTATAACACTAGGCATGTAAGATTTTTGTCATACTACTCAAAATAACATTTAAAACATAGTTTCTTTCAGAAAATTTTCACTTAATAGTCTTAAATTATGTTTAACCACAGATGATTGAAACAGCTGAAATTAAAACTGCAGATGGGAGGAAACTATGATAGTCCAAATCTATCAGTAATACAAATATACATATATATAAACATATACATATATATTTCTTTGAATGTAAACCTATATTTTTTCCTAGAATTGAAAGGAAGAATACTCAGCTATTCTAATGCCATGCACAGAAATGGGAATGTTACTAATTTGCATAATCGATAATAAAAGAAGTAGCATTAAAAACTACAACATGTACATAAATTGATAGAGAAATGAGGAAACTGCTATATACATATATGGATCAATTAATCTTGAGAGCAAAATAGAAGTAGCAGCTGAGCTCTCCTAAGGGACAGAATAAACCTTCAGTTCCATAGTGAGTGATCACATGATTGACATCTTTCTTTTCTGTGAGAGATTATCCTAATGCTCACTTTGGGATCTGTTAGACTCATCTCTGGCAATACTTAGGCACTCTTTCTGCATATTTAGAATGAAGATGGTAGGAAATCTCTTTATG